GTAGTTCACATACATGTTCACAAGACAAATAAGCATTAACAGTATGTTATCTAGTTAAGAATAATTTTTCTCTTTATTTCATAGATACTATGCTTAGCAGAGCAGATTAAATTTACTGAAGATATAGAAAATGCCATCAAAGATCATAGTCTTCATCATATTGAAACACAGCTTGTCAATAAGTTAGAACACTATACCAATGTTGATACCGGTTCTGAGGACCCAGGAAATGCTGGTATGCAAACTGCGCTCCATTTTCTGCCAGCATTAGAGCTGTTTGAACATTGTTCTGTCTTAAGTCATCTATTGTGTGTGCTGTGTCCATTCACCAAACCACCCATCCATCCATGTAGTTTTGATGAGTGTGAATTACAACATACTTAACTTTTTATGTTGTACTTAGAATCATCAGTAAGGTCCTACTTGAAACAGAATGTGCCATCTTTACCCCACATGTGTTCCTTCACCCCTTTTGTGGTTTGTCTTCACATTACACTCATATGCAGTCAACACTCCATGAGATTATAATTTTTGTTTTTAACTCTCAAGCGTATTTTAAGAGTTGAGAGGAAAAGACTGATCTAGCTGTAAGACTAAATGTTTACCATTCTGTGGCCTTTCCTTCAGTCCGGATATTCCAGGCTTCTATCTGGTACCATTTTCTCTCTGCTGAAGAGCTTCCTTTAGTGTGTCCTTTTCACCTCAGCTCCTGACGGGTGTTTCACTGGTTGTCGTGGCTGGTAGTTCACTCAGCATTTTAAAATATCATCCACTCTATTTTGACTCCTGTGTTTTCTGATATGGTGTACAATCATTTGAATCATTGTCTTGTATAAGTAACATGTTCATAATCATTGTATTTTGTCAGTATTCATGACTTAATCTTTGTATTTATCTTTCAAGAGTTTAATTATCATGTTTCTGGCCATGGATTTCTTTGCACTTACTCTCTTTGGGGTTCTCCGAGCTTGGCTCTACAGGTTTATATTTATCCCACAGATATTTGGGGAAGTTTTGGTCATTAGTTTTTCTTTTTTCATATCATGTATTTTCTTTTATCCTTTTGAGCTTTCCATGAGGTGAGCATTAGATCTTTAGGCATTCATCTGTAAGTGTCTTAAGTTTTGTTCAACTGTATAAAAATACTTTTGTTCCTCTCTGTTCAGAGTGGATGGTCTCTGTTGTTCCAGCATCAAATCCACAGCCATTTTCTTCGTTTCTTTCCACTTTAATATTGAGTCGATTCAGTGATTTAAAAAGGTTATGTAAAAAAAGAAGACACGAAATTGGGAGGGGGTGGACAGATGACGGTAGGTTTGTTAGGAGGAGGAAGGGGCATAAAGATGATCAAAGTACATTGTGTGAAATTTCTAAAAACTTAATGTATTTTTTTTTAATTTGTGAAGCTAGAAAAAAATAATTTTGTAGTTTTCAGTCATAAAATTTCCATTTTGTTTTTCACAGTTTTACTTTTTTTGTTGACTTTCCTTTTAAAAGTGATCATTAGTTTTTGGAGCATTTCTTTTTTTTTTTTTTTTTTTTTTAGTAAGAGATCCATGAATAAAAGTCAATGTGGCATGCAAAGTACTGGTCCTAGTAGTAATTCGTTTTATCTCACTTTTCTATAGTTGAGCTGACTTTGATCTCTTGATTCTTCTGCCTCCCCCTCCTGAGTTCTGGGATTATAGGCGTGCACCATCACACTCAGCTTTGGTGAGCACTTTTAAAATAGTGCTTTCAAAAAGTCTTTTATAGTCTTTTCTAACATCTTCATCTTACTACTGGTACCTGTTAATTATCTTTTCTTACGTGGGTTCAGATTTTTTTTGGTTCTTTGCATGCTTAATAATTGTGAATTGTGTCCTTGACATTTTGTATTGTGTTATGAAAATATGGGTCTTATTTAAATCCTCAGAGGAAAGCTGATATTTTTCTTTTAGTAAGTGTCGTCAGGCATAGCTTCTCTGGGTTAGGGCTCCAATGCCAGTTTCTGTTTTTAACTCTGCACAGTGCTTTTGGAGTCTGATCTACATGTGTACCTGGCAATGGTCAGTTTTCAGTTTTCGAAGTGTCTGGCTTATAATCCTAGAATGGGATTGCTTAATACACAGCATGGAGTTAATAAACAAGTTCCAGTGTCCTCCTCCCTGGACTTTCCCATATGTCTCTGCTTCCCTTCTGGACCTTTGGCCAGGAAGTTGAGTTTTCATGTATTTATTGTCTTTTGTACTCTTTGTGAACTCATGTATTTACTGGGCCCGTTGAGGGGAGGCAGAGAGAGGGAAAAGAACCACAGGGCTAGCCCTTTTCTCCTGGGCACCCAGTTCCTCTGATCATAGAGGAAGATGTCCTTCTCTCAAGAGTTTCACACCTCTGGGTCCTGATTGTCAGAACAGTGAGACATTAGGAGACCTTTCCAGTTTCTCAAACATGAGCTAAAGGCCTTTTAGACTTCTCTTTCTGCACCACTCTGTTTCTGACTGTACTGGGTCCAGAATTGGGGATACCCAAGAAGAAAAGAAAAAGAAAATGATGTAAATTTCCTATTGGCTTGTGGACTGGAGAGACCAAAAGAGGAAAGGAAAAAAAAATGCTATAATGTTCCGCCTGGCACGCTGACTGTTCTAGCCGGTCCTCTTCCCTGGTTTGCTGTTCCTTACTTTTCAGAGTCCCAGATAGCCGTTCAGTGCAGAGTTTTCACTGTGTTTAGAGGGAGAGAAAGAAAGTGTGTGCTTACTCCTTTGAGCCCCTCTTACTGAATTTCCATGCCTTAATTTTTATGATTTTTCTTATTTATGTTGTCTTTTTGCTTTGCATGACTTGTTTTATTATAGCTTCAAATGGCGCTTGAAATCTCCTTTCAGCCCTCACTTATACAGCATAACTGCAGAGTACATGACTCGTAGTCTAACATTGTTTCCTTTCTTTATGTATAGAATCAGGCATTCTGGAACTTAAACTTAAAGCACTAATCCTTGACATTATTCATAATATTGATGTTGTGAAGCAATTAAACCAAGTTCAAGTTCACACAATTGAAGACTGGGCTTGGAAGAAACAAGTTCGATTTTATATGAAAAGTGACTATATGTGTTATGTTCAGATGGTGGATTCCGAACTTCAGTACACTTACGAATACCAGGTAGGAGGACTTGATGTGCAGAATACTTGACTTTTCTAGGTAGAAATTACCCGAAGGAAATTGCTTTTGGAAGACATAATTATTTCCATTTTACTATTTTTTTAAAAAAGTTTTACCCTGTTCTTTTGCATCAGAATTTACACAGTGTAATATAATAAACACATTATTCTACTTACAAAATTATTGACATCCCAGTGTTCTGCTGTGAGTTCTCTAAAATGTCCCTTTCCATTGATTGGCATTTGTATTGAATTTTAACTTATCTTTAATCCAAGGAGAATTGTATGCGGACAATTTCAGTAGAAGCAATTTAGTCTGTGCTTCCTTATACAAGGTTATAGCAATTGCAAATATGCTAGAATATGTTTGCTAAATGTTTTCGGTTTGTAAGATAAAGTATAAAAAATCTAGTTCACGTAGCTTGTTCTAAAAAAATCCAGTTGAATCCTCTCCGCCCCTTTCTATCATAATGAATTAGTCATCAGACTAATGTTGCAAGAATAGCTAGTGGACACTTACAAAGGGAATGCATTTTTAGACCCAAATCCTATAAATAGCTGAAAGAATTGGGTTGTATTTTTCCTATCGTCTAGTAGACATTTTGAGACTTATTTGTTAAATTAATTAATTTAACAAAAATTTTAAGGATTATTTTCACTTCAAGGTCTCAGGAAATAAGCATGAATTAAAAATATGAAGTGGAATATATGCTGTATAACAATGCAGTTTTGGATTTGTTTGTCTTCACATTATCTTGGTGCCATTACCAAGACTGAGAGAGACTATTTGGAAAGTTAGCACTGGTTAAGTATTTCAAACTACAATGAATCACATGCCTGAGAAACGGCTACATTTCATTTCAGTTCATGCTTTTCAAAGTGCCTTTCACTAAGAAAAATTTTGGATGCTTTTGTTAAAAAAGTAAATCTTTTTGTTGCATATGTAGCTTTTTAGCTCAGCTAGCATATTACGTTTGTAAATGCAGTGTTTGTGGAGTAGGACAAGAGCGCACTGATGTCATGCTTCCCTATGTACGTAGGGGAACGCTCCCAAGCTGGTTTACACGCCACTGACAGACAAATGCTACCTCACTCTCACGCAAGCCATGAAGATGGGCCTTGGAGGAAATCCTTATGGACCTGCTGGAACTGGAAAGACGGAATCAGTAAAGGCATTAGGGGGACTTCTTGGAAGACAAGTCTTAGTTTTTAATTGTGATGAGGTACAAAAAATAATTCCCAAATATATTATGTTAAATGTTTGCATTGTTTTTCATGTACATACATATGAAACACTCTGTTAAAAGTCATTCCTTTGGTTGGTTGACTGTGATGTGTTACTCTGTTGCCTCTCCTCCTCCCTCAGCCCCTTGGTTCCCAGGGTTACAAATGTATCATATCATCACATTCAGGTTTCGAATCATTCTACGTTTTTTTTTTTTTTTTTTTGTCTTTTTGAGCCAGTGTCTCTCTGTAGCCCCAGCTGTCCTGGAACTCACTATGTAGACCTGGCTGGCCTTGGAACTCACAGAGATCCACCTGCCTCTGCCTCCCGAGTGCTGGATCCACCATGCCCAGCCTGAATCATTCTACTTTTAAATCACCTGAACACAGAATTTATTTGACAAAGCATAGAGGAGTTGTACATAGTATAGGTCTAAAACTTTGCTAAGGAGAAGTATTGTGAAGAAATATTTTTAAATGCAGAATGAAGGTTTGTGTTACATTGAAGACAAATGTTTTCAGTAAAGACAATACTGAATTGGAAAGGAAAAATCCTAAATACATTTAATGTTTTCAGAACATTTTGTATAAGATTTGTACTCTGAGTTAAGGAACAACTAAAATGAAATATTATATTTGCTCATTCTGTGTCCTAGTGAAAATACTTCCCTTGCAACTGCCCTGAAAGAGTAGCTTCTTAGTGTGTGTGGTGTTCCTGGTCCACCCCTCCAACCCTGTCCTAGGCTTTCCTTGACACTGGGTCTCTCTATGTAGCCCAGACTGTCCTGGTATTCATCATTACAGTCCCAGCCTCTGAGTGTAGAGATACAGGCATGCATTGTTTATTTTATAGTGTATGAGTGTATTGCCTGCATGTGTGTAAGTGCACCCATGTCATGTATTACACAGTACATGGGAGGTCAGAAGAGTATCTGTTCCCCTGTAACTGTAGTTATAGATGATTGTTAATCACCTTGTTGGTACTACGATTCGAACTCAAGTTCTCTGCAAGAGCAGTCAGTGCTCTTAACTGCCGAGCCATCTCTCCAGCACTGATTTTTGATAATTTTTAATGAAAATTATTTTTGTTATTTTTTTAAGGGCATTGATGTGAAGTCAATGGGCCGAATATTTGTTGGCTTGGTAAAGTGTGGGGCCTGGGGTTGCTTCGATGAATTTAATCGATTGGAAGAAGCTGTCCTCTCAGCAGTGTCTATGCAAATACAGACCATTCAGGATGCCTTGAAGAATCACAGACCTGTATGTGAGCTGCTTGGCAAAGAGGTAGGGGATGTGCCCTAGAACCAGTTCTCTCAGCACTGCAGTTGCTAATCTGTGACTGTGGGATGAGCCTGTTCACCTAGGAAGTGGCTCGAAGGTGATTAACCATCACCATCACCTTGCATGTAGAGCTAAATGCATTGTCTCTTAGTGTTTGGTTCAGCCTTTTGAAGGAAGTGCTGCTATCAGTTTCCTACTTTATGGATGAAGAAACCAAGATTTATTAGTAAATGTGTAGGGATCCTTGATCTGAATCCAGATGTGCCTAATTCTGAAAGCATATATTTTCATCATTGTTTGACATGAATGTCAAACACACACTGTAAGTAAATAGACTTTCATATGAATTATCCCCTCTTAAACATTCAGTCTTGAAAGACCAACTATGAAGGAATCCACTGCTTAAAGCAGTGGGTTTTTAAGGTGCTTATTACATTAGGATATGCCTAGAGTATTGGGGGTTGCTGTTTGCTAAGACGTTTGCCCTATGTATAGAAATATGTCACATAAAAATTCCCTTGGCAGAATATAATTTCAAATCTTTGATGCTTGAATTCTAAATTAATGTTTCAGGTAGAAATAAATTCTAATTCTGGAATTTTTATCACCATGAATCCTGCTGGAAAAGGTTATGGAGGAAGACAGAAACTTCCAGATAACCTTAAGCAGCTTTTCAGACCAGTGGCTATGTCTCGTCCAGACAATGAACTCATTGGAGAAGTGATTCTGTATTCAGAAGGTTTCAAAGATGCTAAGGAGTTGGGAAGAAAATTGGTCTCTCTTTTCAACCTGTCGAGGTGGGTGCTTCTGCTTTCAGTTCTTCACATTTTGTGTTTCTAACGATGGTGTTTTCATTTCCTATTTTCCCAGTGTTTGCAGTGGTTTTCTGTTGGTCTTTTTATTATACTCAAAATGCAGAGTGAAAGATTTTACTTTGAATAAAATCTTTATCAAAATGATTAATTTTCTTGTCATTAATTTGACAATACATTAAGTATTTATATTGTAGTGTTCTAGCTAATGATTCTAGCCGGCCCCTTAGACACTATACGTACTTCCATGTTTTAGTTTAGTGAAAGGTATTACTTTTTAGTTTATTGGACAACCCAGAGTTCTGATTTATATCTCTTAATAGATATTTGGGACCTAGGCAGTATTAGAAGTGAGAAAGCAAGCTGGGTTATCATAGGTTTTAGGAGGGATTGCCACTTAGCATCTTAATAGCATAATTGCTATGACGGGTTTGCTCTGTGAGCTCTTTCTTCAGTAGCTTGCTTGAGTACTTGTTTTCTGATTGATTCTCTTGTATAGATGAGTAGAAAATAAATATCAATGTCTGTGCATCAGTAATGCTATTCTATGTCTCTTTGGATGTGATAATGAAAAGAATTTCATACAGAAATTAAGCTTTCCACATCTTGACTTCAGGGAACTTTTGACACCTCAGCAGCATTACGATTGGGGGCTGAGAGCTTTGAAGACAGTTCTGAGAGGGAGTGGGAATCTTCTCCGACAGCTGAAGAAGAATGGCACTAAACAGGATGGTATGCTTGAGTACTCCCATCATAACACCTCATTAAAATCAGCTTGAATTGAAATAGTTTCTGTTATAGAAGGTTGTAGATTCAAAGTAAACAATTTCTGTAAATTTTGCCAAGTTAGTTTTTGCTGGTCATTAACACCTTACATTAGTATGGTACATTTTCCCAATTAATGAAGCAATTTGATTATATTATTTTAAAAATAAAGTTCAGATATTATCCTGATTTTCTATAGCTTTAACCTGATGCCCTATAAGAAAATTTAAGCACACATTAATTATGAAGTCATTGTGACATGTAAAAGAATAGTCAAATCCACTTGCTTTTAAACTTAATGTTGATTAGAATTACCTAGTGAGACTAGATATGGTGATGTCTACCTGTAATCCCAGAATTCAGGAGGTGGACACAGAGAATAGTAGGTTCAAGGCCAGTCTGGGCTACTCTGACTACTTTGAGTGAGTTCCAGGCCAGCCTGGGAAACGAGGATCCTGTGTCAAGACAAACAGAACAATCTTTACAACCCAAGGGGAAAAAAATCAACTGGTGTCTTTTAAAATCACAGGTTGCAGAACACTTCCCTCAAAGCTTCTAATTAGGTCAAAGCTTCTAATTAGGTTCAGTGGAGCATGAAACTTTATTCAGTCTTAATGGAAACATTAGAAACGCATTGAGATTTTTTTTTATTCTAAAAGATGAAGATAATATGTTGTGATTACACTGGGCTTTTAAAGGAAAGAAGGCCCAGGCAAGGTGCTCTGCCGATCACATTGTAGTGCAGGTCCATGGCCACTGCTGACATCAGCTTGGAATGTTGTCTTCGATCCCTTGCTGAAGCTGTGTGGGCCCATCCTCTACTGGACACTCATTTCCCTGTTCCTGCTTCCTGGCTGTGCGCATGTGAAATCAAGGTCACCTGTGAAGTGAGGCGGCCAGGGTTAAGCTCTGCCTCTCAGTCTGGTGGTTCTCCTTCCTCATTTATGTACTTATTAAGCTGTTTTTGTCAATGTGCATTCATACTTTGCTCACATACACAACAGTTTTTCAGATTTAAAAGATACGGTTTCCCATGTGCATGAACACATGGCTTCTAGGAAGCCTGCATTTTCGTCATCTTCAGGGTGGTATAAAAAATTAAGACACTGTTTCAGTAAGGGACAGAATAGCAAAAGGATTGCATGACACTACCAATCTGTGTTTTAAGTGGTCAAAGTATACATCTTAAAAGAGTAAATTGCTGGGGCTCTCTTACTAGGTTGGCACATGAAAGGATTGGATAGTTGTTTTGAGAAAAGCTTAAACAACTACTTTATATTTTTCATGATTTTGATGAAGAAACATTCAAATTACACCTGTAGTAAATAAAAATGGATTATGATTAGTGCTTGAAATAAACTCAGGGAAGCCAAGCTGCATTATATGTATTCAAACACAGTGGTTTTGAGCAGCTCTGGGGGAAGTACCAGGCCAAATACCGTTGCTTTGCCTTTGTCTATTTTTATACCTTAGACCCTTATATCCTGAAAAAGAAAAATATCGTGATGATGCTAGTATTTGTATTTAGTCTAAGAATGGGTTTGTGAATCAATTAAATCAGAGTTACCAAAGGTTTCTGTTTAGTGTGTTATTTTAGGACATAAACTTTGTAAATTGTGGGTATTTTTGGAGAGATACTTTAATGTAGAATGGGTGTACTTGAATTTGAATCTCAGACTTAATGTCCCCATATGTAAAACTGAAGTAATGATAGCAATCATTTGTAACCTGCTCTAGTATTTTGGGATCATATGACGTAAAAGGTAAAGTATTACACAAATGCTAAAGTCTGCTACACTGGGATTCAAATCCTATGGAGTTCATAATCAATGATACTTGTTGTAAGCAATCAAAAGATAGAAAAGGGGCTGGAGAGTTGCTCAGTGGTTAAGAACACTTAGTTCTCTTGTAGAGGACCTGGGTTTGGTTCTCAGCACTTGCATGTCAGCTAACAATCATCTATAACTCCAGTTCCAGGGGATCCAATGCCCTCTTCTGGCCTCTGTGAACATTACATGCATGGGTACATTTAAAACATGCAGACAAAACAGTCATACACATTAATATGAATAAATGCAAATTTTAAAAAAAAGAGAGAAGTGTGTCAGTTATCATGGTTTACTACCTTTAAATGTGTTTATCTTGTCATTTAATGATTTCTAATGCATGCCAAGAGTATATTTAATGTAAAATATGTTTTTGATTTAGTTGATTAAAAACAATTTTCAAACCAAACTTTTTCTGTAGCTAATGAAAGTCATATTGTGGTCCAAGCATTGAGGCTTAATACAATGTCAAAGTTGACATTTACTGACTGCACCCGCTTTGATGCACTGATTAAAGATGTCTTTCCTGGAATTGACTTTAAGGAAGTAGAGTACAATGAACTCAGTACTGCCTTACAGCAAGTCTTTGAGGAGGCCAGTTATGAAATCATACCCAGTCAGGTAACTGTCTGGAATGTTTTGTAATGTATCAGTGCTTTTTCCTTCTCAGCCCTTAGTAATGACCCTTACTAGTTATCTTGCGATTTAGTTTTCATCCTACTCCTTTAACGTTGCCTGCTCAGGAAAGCTTCTTGGCTCTTCAGCTTCTGATTAGGACCTCTTCCTATGTTGTTTCATTACTTCTGTTATACATGCATATTAAATATTATGTATTTAGTTAGTATTGATTTTTGCCCACCAGATGTAATCTCCATGAGAGTTAGCATCCATGTATGTTTTTGCTCCACATTTTATCCCTGCTGCTCATGACAGTATCTCGTCGTAATAGATATATTGTATGTACTTTTGCTTATTGATTACAGTATGATCTAGTTTACACTTTGGTAATTGCCTAGTAGAAATTATTCTTAGAGAGTCTCTTTATGTAGCACGGATTATTATTCAAAAATGAACGTTTCCTTCCAAATTTTGTTGGAGAGAAGTAGAATATGAATTAGCAACTTAATAAAGTCATGTATTGTATTTGAATAAACATATGATTGAGGAAAATAAAGGATATATATTTTCAAATTTGTGAAAAGCACCCTGTCTTTAAAAGACAAATACTATTCAGATTTATTTAGTTAGTGGTCTGAAGTTTTATCTTCTACTGGAGAGATCTAAGATGAATTTACATGTTTCTAATAGGTGTTTGCAGAATGAAACCAGAACTGGGATTGAGTATTATGACTCACATATGAACATATTTCTTTCCTACCAGATCAAGAAGGCTTTAGAATTGTATGAACAGTTATGCCAGCGGATGGGAGTTGTTATCGTTGGTCCAAGTGGTGCTGGCAAATCTACCCTCTGGAGAATGTTAAGGGCAGCACTTTGTAAAGTTGGCAAAGTAGTAAAACAATATACTATGAACCCTAAAGCTATGCCTAGGCATCAATTATTAGGCCATATTGACATGGATACAAGAGAATGGTCTGATGGTGTTTTGACAAATAGTGCTCGCCAAGTAGTTCGTGAACCTCAAGGTTGGTCTCATTATTTTACTTAACTCTTGGAGAATCATATAATCTTTATAAAGTTGTTCTTATTAAGGCTTATATGTGACTATAAAGTACCTAATGGTATCACTGAACACCATTAAATTGTTGGTTCGAATAACTTTGAAATTGGAATGGTAAAGCAATAGATTTCCTGCTCTAAATTTTCTAGACTTGGTTTTGAAGATAATTTTTTTTCATCAGAATCAGAATAGATGACTTTTTTATCAAGTCTTAATATAATTAGAAGTTGTTCATTTATGGTAGTGGATGAAATATTCAGAAGTCTGAGCCATTAAAGATCATATGCTACTTTTCCCATGTTCTTACTGCTGATGTTTTGATCCTTTAATTTTTTCAAAAGTCTAAGTACAATTTGAACTGCTCATTTTAGGCAGAGTATTAAAACCTGTTTTCACAACCTGGTCATATTCCCCTACCTCATTCAAGTCGTCTTTCAACACACTGAAAAAAATAGTAGTAAATGTTTTGTTTCTCATTTAGGACACTGAAAATTGAGTTTCCTGCATTCTCTAAAAGAGACATTCCATAGCCAGCATTTACGTATTTTCATGACATGGTAGAAGACAAAAGTCTGAAGCTTTCTTAGCAGTTTCTCATGGAAACAGAAATATCCATCTCATCCATCACTGGTCTGGAAACGGACATCACCAAATCTGTGTGTTTAGAGATAACTAGGGCAGGACTCCATGAATTGTGACTGGGCTTTGGCTGCACAGGCAGGACTGCCCATGGGTTCTCCACCACATCTGTAGCACTACTTCCCATGACAATTTTAAGCTTACTCAACTTTGGTCTTTGGTCTGGAAATCAGTTATAAATAATAAGGTAGTTTATTCCTTATGTTTAACAGCTACAGCATCTGGCATATACCAGATGTCTTTGTATACGTTTGTGCATGTACATGTTTATGTATGAATTTTTAAAGTCTCCACTTTTGTGATTTGGAAACAGATGTTAGCTCATGGATCGTCTGTGATGGTGATATTGACCCAGAATGGATAGAGTCTCTGAATTCTGTTCTGGATGATAACCGGCTGCTCACTATGCCCAGTGGAGAAAGGATTCAGTTTGGTCCAAATGTTAACTTTGTATTTGAAACTCATGATTTAAGTTGTGCATCACCAGCCACAATATCTAGGATGGGAATGATATTTCTTAGGTAAGCCACAGGTCATTGTTATATGTATATTAGAATAGTCTTTATTGGTTTGATTTTATAGTTGTTTATTTTGCCTATTTATGATTAACTTTTTGAGTTGGCTTTTAAGATTTTCTGTTTTATTGCAGTTAAATCATTTTTAGCAATTTAGCTCTAAAAATTTGAATAATGTTTTCATTAAGAGAAATAGCAAGTACTCAATTTTTTCTTAAAAAATTTGAAATGTTATGATTGAATTCAGAGAAGTACACATGCTATAAACTTTTTTTACTCTTTAAGCACTAGCATTTATTTAAAGTCCAGTGGCAAGTTTTAGTGATGGAATCTTCACTTCACTAGGACTAATCCAGGTATAGTAGGTCCTGGCTGGCAACCTTTGTACTTTACAAGCTCTTTACTAAAAATTGTCTTAGTTCTATGGTTCACTTAGAATTGACTTAGAAAGTAAAAATGAGCAATAACCAGTTTTATTTTTTAATATTTTTTGATTATTTCATTTTTATTCTATGTGTGTGTTTTGCCTGTGTAGATGTGTATACCCATGTGTGTAATGCCCACACAGGACAGAAGAGGGTGTCACATTCCCCCGGAACTGAAGCTGCAAGGCAGTTGTCAGCCGCCATGTGGGTGCTAGAATCTGAACCTGGGTCCTTTGCAAGAGCAATCAGTGCTCTTAACCTCTGAGCCATCTCTCCAGCCCTAATAATCAGTTTTAGGTATCACATACATAGTCAATACTAGAGCATGGACACTTGAGCCAGTTTCATTTCCTCCAAAATGAGTTTTATTTTATGTTTTGAATTTATGTTTAGAATTTGTTATTCATCAAGCCTCTAAAGTACTTGAGTTTCGGGACTATTTGAGGCATTTTAGGTTGTGGATGACAAATGGCTGGAGTCTCTTTGGTTTGAAGTATGTCTTAAAATTATTTAATTACTTATTTCCCTGACAGTACTATAGGAAACATTTGCATTAAATTAATCATGACTGTAATTGATAATATGAAGTTTAATTATTAGAAATAGCCACTCATCAAAGAAGCTTCTTTTTGCAACAGACAGAGACTATTGTAAAGTTCCACAACTGGTCAAATGCAGAGAATAAGTGACTGTGAGTGCCCAGCCCTAAGTGACACATCTACAATGCAACCTCTTCACCTGAGGATTAGGGAAGGAACACCTGCAAGAGGTGGGGGGTGGGGGTGGAGAGATTTTAAGAGCCAGAGGGATATGACACCTGCTGTTAGTCAGTGGATATCTAGACATGAGAGAGAAGCTATACCTGTGACCTCTCCACAGTATGGTAGCCTAACTAGATCTTCATAATGAGAAAACCAGTTGACATGCCAGCTTGGACGGGGAAAAGCTCATGGGGATCTCACAAGATGAAGACCTTACTGCAGGTAGTCAGTGAATGCTGAGGGAGGGAGGGATGGTCAGTTTTTTCCTGGGACCAGCTCCCTGAGAAGCAGCCAGATCCTAAGTGGGCAGCCTAAACACATGTACACATGCGCACCACTACATGGACTCAGGGCATGGGCGGAGAGACATGGGAATGGGAGGGGTGGAAATAATGCAAATATAATACTCATGTATGACATTCTTTAAACAATAAACTTAAAATTTAGCTTTTGGCATATAGTTTCATTATTGTTTTTATATAAATTGATCATTTACTGTATATCATAATCTGAGAAAATTGTTATAAAAGACAAGCTTATAGGTAAAATTTTAAATCTTATTGCATATCTGTGGTATATTTGATGTTAATTTAGGCACTGTAGAAAAGACAGCAAGAGAGGTGTGAAATTGACATTTACAGAGAGTTGTCTTTCTGGAACATACCCTACAGTAGGGGAGAGAAAGGAGCACAGCACCATAGGTGGCATGCTGTCAATGTTTAGCAGTCACAGAGTCCTGCAGAGAACATCAAGTAATATACTTGCTGACACAGGCATTGGCTGGGAGAGGCATGAGGAATGTGTAGGATTGTGTAAAATTGAACTGACACTCTTAGACTGCCAGGTGGTCTAGCTTGGACCTGTTAGTTTAGGTTTCATTTATTTCTCCTGATGTTTGCTGAGCGTTTCTCTGGGAATAGGCCAGATGAAAACTTGTAGATAAAGAATAATGTGCTCCTGCGTCTTCTGTGACATAAAGGCACAAAGTAACCAGTGGCAGCGCTGTGTGCTAGGAGATCAGGATATGGCAAGAATTATGTCTATTGGTACAAGTTAAATCTGAAGTAAATTGACAGTTTCTTCCTAAGTATCTGGTGTGTTTGTGTTAATCCTTTTCAGTGATGAAGAGACAGATATTAATTCTCTGGTAAAATCTTGGCTGAGGAATCAGCCTGCTGAATGCAGAAGTAATCTTGAAAATTGGATTGGAGATTATTTTTCAAAGGCTTTACAGTGGGTTTTAAAGCAGGTGAGTTGACCATACTGTTTCATAATTCATCTGTGGAGTGAGGGTGTGGTCAAGATCCTGTTTGCTTGCTGCTGTCGTGTGTGTGTGGTAGAGCACTGCTGGCACATGGCTCCATGTGAGAGGTAGCGCTCAGCATTGCTGGTCCTTGAATATTTTTTGACAATAGCCCTTATTGTTACTTTTAAAGTTGTTTCACTTTCTCTCTACAGTATCCTACCTGACTTACCTAAAAAAAACTTGAATATTGGAATGGCTTCCTGTTCACACTAGAAGAATCATCTTGTTATCACACTTTACTGTCAGTAATTACCTACATGTGTTTCATGTTATAGACATTGAGGCTAATACTAAAGTACACAAGTGATGGTGAATTATTTATATAATGTTTGAAACATTTGTTTCTTCAATAAAATGAACTGAATATCTAATATGTCAAACGTAATACTAGAGAAAGGTTGAGAGATGAAGGTTAGTAAGATAGTCTCTTTCCTTGAGAAGAGTTTATTTGTGCATGAAAATGCCACAGAAGGTAATCATCATTGTAGCGGCATAAAGAGTATTGTTGTCTGTCTGGGAGGGTTGGTTACCACCTGGAGCATGAATAGAGGTTGGCCTGAAGACTTTAAAGGGTTTTTGCATATGTTGCATGATTTTTAAAACTTTTTTTGGTGGCTTTTATGTCATTTATTTCTTGAAAAACTTCAACATATAGATCAGAGCAATTATATAGCAGTTGTTTTTGTCTTTTTATTTTCTTATTTTATGTGTTTGACTGTTTTACTTGAATATATGTACAATGCCGAAGGAGGCCAGAAGAGGGCCTGAAGATAGTGCCAGGCACTCAAAGTATGAACCTGGGCATTTCAGATGCTAACCCATAACAGGTCTCACCTAGATTTGTCTGAGTATTTTAACATGTGGAGGGTTCCTTCTTTCCCTTTGATGATCATGCTCACATTCAGAGAGAAATCATCCTGGATGCTCTAGTCAGAGGTTGAAATTCTGTTTTTAACTGGAACCTTACTTGTATGAATTCTGCAAGTAAGGCAATCTAGAGCAAAATCTGCAAGTTACTGTCTGACCTTTACGTCTTCAAACTCTTAATATGGTCTGGAAGCTGAATGCACCTGTGTCAGCTGCTGGTTTTCTTCCCACCCTTTCTCAAGTCCTCTTTTTCTCCATAATTATTCCTTATAAATAGGGTGTGATAATGAAAATAAAATTTGTAGACTTTCTTTTGATCTGTAAGTTGTGCATGCTGATCCTTGCACACTTCTTTGTTTCCTCTAAGCACAAGTCTTTTAAGTCCTCAGCTATGTTAAGCTTACCTCTGCTTGTGCCGTGTTCTTGGCATGGCAGGCAAGAGCTCATCCTTCGGATGTTAGCTAATGGACTCCTTTATCAGAGAGGCCCTGCTTCTTCGGTTTCAGTCACTCTTTCTCACAACCCCTCGCTCTGTTGCTCTTTAGCTCCTATCTCAACTGTGTAACTATTTCCTCTCTGAGCTTGAGCTTTGAAAACAGGGACTATGATTAATCTACTTTAAAACAACAAACAAAATCCAGCATTGCCATCTACAAATCTGAATTATGATTGTCTCTTGGTAAATATGGAAAAAATGATACATTTTCAGCTAAGTTCCTTGACATTTATCAGGATCCCAAGGCCTACAGATAAAACTGTCTATATTGCTTAAGTGTAGAAGCTTCATTTAAAAATTCTTGTTTAAAAAATGAAATGGGCTGGAGAGATGCCTCAGTGGTTAAAATCACTGGCTGCTCTTGCAGAGGACCAGTGTTTGATTTCCACCACCTACATGGTGGCTAACAACTGTCTGTAACTCAAGTTCCAAGGGATTCAACACCCTCTTCTGACATTGCACGACATGGATGCGCTTACATACACTTATAAAATTTAAAATAATTAAAAAAAATGAAGTTAAAATTCTACTTATTGAGAAAATTTTTAAAAATGCGAAGTTCTAGGAATTGGACATAGGACCCGAGGCACATTCGCACTGAGTAATGACATTGGCCTAACTGCTCTCCACTGAATCTGCTTTTGAAGCCTCTGCCTTCTCACAGCGCTGTCTATCTAGGTCTCAGCTCCAGCTCTTTATAAACTCAAGGAATGAACAGCTATTTGTTTTGCATTAGTTTTTACTTTTGCTTACATATATGTGTGTGTGTATGTATAAATTCTTCAGGCCGAGGTATAAATTATGTCTATTTGAGAATTCTAGCATTTATGGTCCAAAATATATAATTATGTTTATTTTGTCTTTTTTTCAGAGTTTTATA